GCATCCCGCCAAGATCCGGCTTCCCCAGCTCGATGCTGACCGATCCTGCCCCCGCCTCCCCTGACTCCGGATCCGCCCTACTTTGGGGAAGTTCGTAGGTAGGGCCTGGAATTTCCGCCCTGCTTTTCAAGCCCCGTTGATGCCACTTTCCGCCCTACTTTTCTGCCGCTGTTTCCGCCCTGCTTCTGTGGATTTCCGCCCTACTCTATGTTGGGTGCAGAAATTTCCGCCCTACTTTTTCGGCCTCTTATAGGTGGATTTCCGACGCAGTTTTCAGTTGAAAAAAAGCCAAAGCCAAGGTAGGGCGGATCTGGAGTCAGGGTCGGGTGTTGCTGGAAGTGCCCCTGGCCCAAGGTGCCCCCAGCTTTTCGCACCATTTCGGAGCCCCTGGGGCCCTCTGGGCCTCGTGAGGGGTGCTCTGGAAGTCGCCTGGGCCACACCGAGAATTCTAGGGGCACCTTGGGCCAGGGGGACTTCTAGCAACACCCGACCGCCGAGCCTCAGATCCTGGCGCTGCAAGTTTTGCAGACGCCAGGCATTCTCGCAGTGTTTCGGGCCCCGGGGCCAACACAGATCTATCCGGCTCGCATCATGCCGCAGAAAGGTAGGGTCCAGGGCTCTGGTCGTGATTTCTCGCGATGCTGCAATTTTTTCGCAACGATCGGATCTCAGGGGGTGTCTGGGATGTCCCTGGGGCCATTGCAGATTTTTGCCGTCGTCATTGCTGAGAGTCGTCGTGGTATTATTCTCCTCAGCTTCCTCTCTTCTCCTCGCAAAATCTGCGCGAACAAGAAAAACGCTTGCGTACGGGTAAAGGATCCAGCAGCGCTTCCGGTAAACATCTCAGTGGCAGCCGATATACCTCTCCGATCCTACCCATGAGAATACGGTGGGGGGGGGGTGGTTCATCAAGGGATGTGCCCAGGAGGCTTTATAGACCCTGGAGGATCTCTTAGCTGATGAGAGCGGCGGTGGTATGTGCTCCGCCAGCTTTCGAAGGACTCCTTGTATACCAAGGGCGCCCTCGAGGGCGCGAAGTTATTCGCGCTTCGCGCTTCGCGGTTCGGCTCCGATTCCCCCTCATCCTCCTCTCTTCTCCTGGGAGGCGGCGCGAGAGCGCGAAGTTATTCGCACTTCGCACTTCGCGCAGCGCGAAGCGCGAAGTTGGGAGCCCTTGTATACCCACTGGTTCCTTCTCCGACGCTCTCGCCGTAGCGCTTCCAGGGGCTACGGCCTCACGCGCCTCGCTCCGAGGGGCACAGGCACGCGCGCGCTTCGCCGCATGCCTGCGCCTCGCTCGCTTGCTCGCTCCCCGCAGCGTGGCGCTCCCACCCCCCCACAACCCCCCAACGCCTCCCCCCACCGCGGCAACCCCACACCCCACCTCTCCACGAGAGGAGGGGGAGAGGAGGAGGAAGGAGAGGAGGAGAGGAGGAGGAGAGGAGAGGAGGAGGGAGAGGAGGAGGAGGAGAGAGAATGGGGGCGGTCGGGGAGCCGGAGTGGGGGCCGTGGTGGGGGGGAGCTGGGGCTGGGGGGGCTAGGGTTGCGATGAAGACGGCGGGTAGAGGGACGACGAGGAGCGAGGAGAGTCGAGGAGGAGCGAGGAGGAGTCGAGGAGGAGGGGAGGAGAGGAGGAGGAGGAGGAGAGAGGAGGAGGAGGAGGAGGAGAGGAGGAGAGGAGGAGAGGAATGAGGAGGAGGAGGAGGAGGAGGGAGGAGGCAACCCCACACCCCACCCTCCACCCCGCGGCAGGCCCGCGCACCGCCACCGTCCGGGCCGTGGAGGCCGCCGGCATCTGGGGCACCGACCACCAGTCCTTCCACCAGGCCCCCGCGCCTGTCTCGCGCCGGCCTCGCGGTCGCGGCGCCCTTTGCGCCTAGGGGCGGCGGCCCCGAGCGCCGGCGTGGCGCAGCACTCGGAGCAGCGCGGAGAGCCACGGCCAGGGCCGCAGACCTCTGGAGCAGCGTGGCGCCCCTCCTCCTCCTCCTCCTCCTCCTCCTCCTCACTCCTCCTCCCCTCCTCCTCCTCTTCTCCTCCTCCTCCTCCTCCTCCTCCTCCTCATCCCCCTCCTCCTCCTCCTCCTCCTCCTCCTCCTCCTCCTCCTCCTCCTCCTCCTGCGCCGCTCCCCGGGGCCTCCCGCGCCGCTCCTCGGGCCAGGTGGATCTGCGAGGGCCCGGGGCCCGAGGCCAGGCAGAGGCGCTCGGCTCGAAGAGCTCGAGGCGCCAGGACGGCGGCGGAGGCGACGACGACGACGACGACGACGACGACGACGACGACGACGACGACGACGACGACGACGACGACGACGACGACGACGAACGACGAACGACGAACGAGGAACGAGGAACGAGGAACGACGGCGGCGGCGGCGGCCACGGCCACGGCGGCGGCAACAAGGCGCGGGGCGGCGGGGCGAGGCAGCGCCGGCCTGGCCGCGAGCGCGCCATCCGGCCGCCAGCCCTTCCCACCTGGGCCGGCGGCTAGTGCGAGGCGGGGCCGCCACCGCCGCGGCCGTGGCGTCCTGCCGCCGCTGCCGGCGCCGAAGGCACCCGCGGCCACTGGCCTGGCAGGGGCGGCCCGCGAGGGCTGGCGATGTCGCCGCAGCCGCGCCCTCCTGACGAGGACAGGGAGCACGCAGGAGGAGGAGGAGGAGGAGGAGGAGGAGGAGGAGGAGGAGGAGGAGGAGGAGGAGAGCAAGGAGGAGAACAAGGAGGAGGGGGAGGTACGTGGCACCCGACTGGTGACTACCAACGCAGCAGTTCTTGAACGCCGAACCCCAGAGGAGGAGACAGGGCCTTTCCCCTATGGACCTTGTACGGTGAAGGGATCCCGCAGCTCCTCCCTCCCCCCCTTCCGATTATGACCCCCCTTCCGCCACCACTACCCGACCAGCGGCAGCCAGCAACGACACCACGCCAACAGGGACCACATCATCAACTACGTAGCATGAAGACGAGCATGGCTACGCCACCCATGCCTCTACCCCTCCTTTGCCTGCTGCCGATGGAGGCAGAACAGCCCCATGGCCTCCCAGACGGCCGCTTCAAAGCCCATTACCGACGGTGGGACATGCGGTGGACCGTCTGGGCCACCAACCCATGAGTACGCTTACGCACCACTCTACACCCCGTGACAGTCCCCCACGCAGACCCCCGTGCTGGGGAGGCAAGGGGACAACAGAGCCAGTGAGAGCGACGGAGCCCTCCCCTGAGGCGCAGAGCGTGCGTTTGAAGGGCACCGTCTGCTGCGAGGGATGGACGCAAGATTTGGCTGGAGCGAGCAGCTTCACTACACATCACCAGGCCAGTGGGAGGAGGAGGAGGAGGAGGAGGAGGAGGAAGAAGAAGAAGAAGACGAGGAGGAGGAGGAGGAGGCGGAAGAGGAGGAGGAGGAGGAGGAGGAGGAGAGCAGCTTTACTACACGTCGCCAGGCCAGTGGCCCGCTGGGGGCCGCGGCCGCGGCTCGCGGCCGCCCTCGGCGGCCCTCGGGCGGCCCTCGGTAGGCCCTCGGCGGCCCTCGCCGGTCACCCGCGGGCGCCTCCTCCTCCTCGACCTCCTCCTCCGCCGCCTCCTCTTTGTCCTCCTCCTCCTCAGTCCTCCTCCTCCTCCTCTCCTCCTCCTCGTCCTTACCCTCCTCCTCCCACTCCTCCTCCTCCTCCTCCTCCTCGCCCTCCTCCTCCTCCTCCTCCTCCTCCTCCTTCTCCTCCTCCTCCTCCTCCTCCTCGGCTTCAGCCTTCTTAGGCTGCCCTGGGGATGTATCGCAGGTGTCGGGGAGGTTTGCAGACCCAGACATGATGGCGTCGTAACAAAAATCAGGACGGGAGGTTTTTGGCTACTCTCGCCCTCTAGAGGTCCTCGCCGGGCCTCGGGACCGTCAGAAAACGACTCGGGACGAAAAAAACGGGTCCCGGGGAACGGGTCGGGACTTCCGGGGACGCCGTCCTGGAAAATCCAGGACGTCGCATGTTTTGGTAATCCCCAAACGTGGTGGTGACAACACCTGGCGGTGAGTCTCGGGCGATTCGGTGTCACCACCCGGTTTGGGGACTCATGCGCTTGTTCGAGGATGTCCCGAACGCTGGTGGGCCCAGGAGTCACAAGACCCGGCGGTGAGCCCGTGTCCCCAAACCCGGGGGTGACTTTTTGGGGATTCCAGGTCACCACCTGATATCGCACCACCTGGTTTGGGGGCTCCCAAATGTCTGGGGGTCCTCTCCCGGTTTCCGGTGCTTGCTCTGCCTGGCCCTCCCCGAGCGCGGCCGCGACGCGGCGCTCCGCTGCGCGTGCGGGCGCCCGTTCTGCAGACGCATGCCCGCCACAGGCTTGGGGCCGCTCGTCTCCCCGAACCTCGGCGCCACCCCAACCGCCGCCTCCTCCTCCTCCTCCTCCTCCTCGTCCTCCTCCTCCTCCTCCTCTCCTCCTCCTCCTCCCTCCTCCCCGCCTCCACCCCTCACTCCTCCTCCTCCTCCTCCTCCTCCACCTCCGCCCCCCACTCCTCCTCCCCTCCCCTCCCGCCTCCTCCTCCTCCTCCTCACCTCCTCCTCCCCTCCACCTCCTCCTCCCCTCCTCCCCCTCCTCCGCCTAACATACTACTACTGTGTGTGCGTCGCCCCCCCAGGACCGACCCGCGCACCGACAAGTCGCATGGTGTATGCGTCGTGGCGGGCGCTTTCTGGCCACACCCCAACATACTACTACTAGGTGGCACGGTTGCGCGCCTAGAGGCCATCCAGCGACAGTATAGGGTGCCAGTGCTCCGCCGTGCTCGCTTGAAGTCTTGACGGAGAGCTTTTGCACGCTGGGAGCCAGCGGTTTCTCGAAGCTGTAACTTTTGAGGCCGTTAGCACCCCGCGACCATAGGGCCCAGCACACACCTCACTGAGCTTAGTTCAAGAATCGGCATGCAGGGGACGCAAAGGGGTAGTAAAAACAAACATACTACTACTATGTGTGCGTCGCCCCCCCAGGACCGACCCGCGCACCGACAAGTCGCATAGTACATGCGTCGTGGCGGGCGCTTGCTGGCCACCCCTCGGGAAACGATCCACTTCCAGACATGCGACGTCCTGATTTTTTCAGGACGGCGTCCCTGGAAGTCCAGACCCTTTCCCCAGGGCCGGTTTTTCGTCCCGAGTCGTTTTTTGACGGTCCCGAGGCCCGGCGAGGGCCCCCAGGGGCCGAAAATAGCGAAAAACCCTCCGTCCTGATTTTTTTACGACGCCATCATGTCTGGGCTTCTAGATGGGTCTACGATGTGCTCGGGTCGGACGCGCGCCTCCCGGGAGGACGTGTAGCATCAGCATGCCTCTGCCCTGCGCGCCCCATGCGCAGATCTTTCGCGCTCGGCCCAGCATGACGGCATGATGGCGCGGGGGTCCAAGCAGGTGGCGAATGCATGCAGCGCAGCCCTCTGTGGGCCCCGGGGAACGGCAGGGCCGTTGCTTCACCGCTTCCAGAAAAGATGTCCCCTGAAAATGGGAACGGGAAGAAAAGAGGCGACCGGAAACGGCAACAGAAACGGCTCCAGGATTGGAGCCGGAGCCGGAACCGATCAAAAAACGGCGACGGAACCGGTAAAAACACGGCGTCGGAGCCGGCTAAAAGGAACCGGTAACAAAACGGCCCTGTCGCTTCCAGGGCCCACTAAGGCGCAGCCTGGCCTGGGAGCAGCCGTCGAGCCGAGCCGCCTCCGCCCCCGCAGCACGCGTCCCTCCCGCCCTCTGCCTATCTCGGAAGGCCTCCGCGCCGCAGGGCGCGGCCGCGACGCACCCGCCTGCCCTGCGCGCTGTCGCTGCCGGCGGCTGGCTGGACGTACCTGGCTCCGGATCCGCCACACTCTGGGGAAATTCGTGAGTAGTCGCAGGCCTAGAGATTGACACCAACACCAAGATCGGCGGTGTGCCTCCACCGAGGGGAAAAGGTCCCGATCTCGGTGATGGTGGTAATATTCTGGCTTCCAAGGTGGCCGAACTATTACCACCAACACCGAAAATCTAGGATCATCTTCCCCCTGTGGAGGCAACCCTCTGTCTTGGTGTTGGTGCCAATTTCCAGGCCTCCGAGTAGGGCTTGGAATTCCCGCCTCCCTGACTCCAGATCCGCCCTACTTTGGCTTTTTTCCAACTTAGAATTGCGTCGGAAATCCACTTCTAAGAAGCCGAAAAAGTAGGGCGGAAGTTCCTGCACCCAGCATCAAGTAGGGCGGAAATCCACAGAAGTAGGGCGGAAACAGCAGCAGAAAAGTAGGGCGGAAATTGGCATCAGCGGGGCTTGAAAAGTAGGGCGGAAATTCCAAGCCCTACCTACGAATTTCCCCAAAGTAGGGCGGATCTGGAGTCAGGCCTCACATGCTTTTCAAGCCCCGCGGATGCCAATTTCCGCCCAATACTTTTCTGCTGCCGTGTCCGCCCTGCTGCTGTGGATGTCCGCCCTGCTTTTTTTAGGTTGGGTGCAGGAAGTTTCCGCCCTACTGTTTCGGCCTCACCTCAAGTTCAAGTTCAAGTTGGGAGAAAAGCCAAGCTCAAGTTGGGAGAAGAGCCAAGCTCAGGCTGGAAGAAGAGCCGAGCAGTCGGGAGAGAAGCCGAGCTCAAGCTGGGAGAAAAGCCAAGTTGGTCGAGTAGGATTTCCGACGCAAGTTCAGGTCCCAGACATGCGACGTCCTGATTTTTTCAGGACGGCGTCCCTGGAAGTCCAGACCCTTTCCCCAGGGCCGGTTTTTCGTCCCGAGTCGTTTTTTGACGGTCCCGAGGCCCGGCGAGGGCCCCCAGGGGCCGAAAATTGCGAAAAACCCTCCGTCCTGATTTTTGTTACGACGCCATCATGTCTGGGGTTGGAAGAGAAGCCAAAGCAGGGCGGAGCTGGGGCAATTGGGGGGGCCGGTCCGCGCCAGCTCCTGCGTTCTTAGCCCTGCGCCCCTGCCCTGTCGACATTGACGGCGTCGCAGCAGACCTCCGGGCGGGAGGCGTTTCGCGCGGAGCGCGCGCGCGCGGGCGGCACGGCTGGGGGGGAGGAGGAGCGGGAGGGGGGGGAGGAGGGGAGGGGAGGGGAGGGGGAGGGGAGGAGGGGGAGGAGGAGGAGGAGGAGGGGAGGGGGAGGGGAGGGGGAGGAGGAGGAGGGGGAGGGGGAGGAGGGGGGGGGGGGGAAACGCCTCCGCCCAGCCGTGTGCCGCGGGAGGCGTTTCGCGCGAAGCGCTACAGTTTCGGACCTCCCGGGGCCGAAGCTTCTGCTGGTTTCGGCCCCGGGAGGTCCTCGCCGGGCCTCGGGGTCGTCCAAAAGCGACTCGGGACGAACGGGTCCCGGGGAAAGGGGTCGGGACTTCTGGGGACGCCGTCCTGACAAAAAGCGGGACGTCGCATGTCTGGGGCCCCTGTCCTCCACCGCGCGCGGCCTCTGCGTCGGGCTGCCCGACGGCGCGCCCCCCGCCCCAGCTCCCCGCGGCGCTGCGTCTGGGCCCCTCTGTCGCCTGGCCCAGTCGCCGGCGCCTCAGTTTCGCGCGGGGGGGGGGGCAATCCTTCCCGTTGGGGCTGTGCCTCGCTCGGGCGTGTGCGATTTTTCTCGGCGAGGGCCCTCGAGGAGCCTCTCCGGGTCGTCGGTGCGAGGCCAAAAAAAGGCGCGCGAGGCCGAACAGATGCACGGGGACTGGGCGTCCGAGCGATGGCGACGCCCCTCTCGCGCTGCCCCCCCCCGCCCCGCACAAGTGGCAGGAGGGGAGAAAACACACACAGACGCAATGAACCGGCGATTCCCAGAAGATGTGGGAAACTATGGGAAGTGGGGGGGGGGAAGACAAAACCCCAGAACATGTGGGGAAATGTGGGAGATACTTTTCTTTGTGTGTATTTATTTGTGTGTTCAAAAGTGCCTCCCTGGTGGCCCTCGCCGGCCGCATTGCAATGGCCCTCGGCTCGCCGCGACACACGTCCACAGCCTGGGCTTCTCGCGGTGCTTCTCAGTCTGCGAGGGAAGACCGAGGTTCGTCCGCGGCCTCGGCTTCTCGCGGAAGATGTTCCATTTCCCCTTCAAAGTGGGCGCGCGCCCGGCGGCCCAAACTAAGGGGGGGGCCTCGGGCGCAGACCCGCGGGAGGCGATGCGCGCGCTGCGGGGGGGGAGCGCGGGGAGGGCCCTGCTCCTCATCTGCTCTTCCTTGTCTCTCCTCCTCCTCCTCCTCCTCCTCCTCCTCCTCCTCCTCCTCCTCCTCGTCATCATCATCATCATCCTCACCCCCCTCCTCCTCCTCCTCCTCCCTCCTCCTCCTCCTCTCCTCTTTCTACTCCTCTCATCATCATCATCATCATCATCATCATCATCATCATCACCCCCCTCCTCCTCCTCCTCCTCCTCCTCGTCATCATCATCGTCATCATCATCATCATCATCATCATCATCAGCAGCAGCAGCAGCATCAGCATCAGCATCAGCATCAGCATCATCATCATCATCATCATCATCATCATCATCATCATCATCATCACCCCCGTCCTCTTCCTCATCCTCCTCCTCCGCCTCCTCCTCCTCTCCCTCTTCCATCCAGTTTCCTTTCGCATGCCTAGTCCCAGTCGCGCCCCCGGGCGCGTCGGCAGGGCGGGCTGGGCATTTCGGTGGAGTCCTTCGCGAATGGGTGGGGGGGCGGGTCGTTTTCAAAGTGTGGTTTTCGCTTGAGCGCCGCGCGCATTCGTCTTGAGCGTTGCCAATCGCTGAAAGGATGGAGGCTGGGTTCGTTTCAACATGTGGCTCTTTCTTTAGCGCCTCGCGCAGTCGTCTCAAACGTTTGCAGCAGCGTCAAGGATGAAGGGGGGCGGTTCCTGTTTCGTGTCGTGCACATCCTTTTAACAGTTTACAGTTGCTTCAAGAATGGAGAGGAATTCCTTTTCAATGGGTGGCTCTCGCCTCAACGCTGCGCGCACGCGTGTTGAAACGTTGACCGCTGCTTCAAGGGTTCGCAGGGCTGGCACCCCAACATTTGTGTTCTGGCCCGGCTCGGGGCTGCCAGGACGCAATCGTCATTCTGATTCGCGGCGTCGAAGGCCGAGGACAGACTTTCTGGAGCGGTTTAGGATTGTCATGGCGCAACAGTCAGATTGACTCGCGGCGTCGGAGTCCTTGGAATGGTGTTGGGGCCTGGTTCAGGCCTCTCAGACGCTTGCTCCTGAAGTTCCCGCCAAGCAGATAATAAACTCTTGCCGGGACAGGTGAAGGGGGAACGCAACATCGTTGAGGCACCGTGGGTCCACAGTCCTCCTCCTCCTCCTCCTCCTCCTCCTCCTCCTCCTCCTCCTCCTCCTCCTTATCCTCCTCCTCCTGCTGTTCCTCCTCCATTCCCCCCCTCCCTTTTCCCTCATCTCTCCCTCCCCCCAGTTCCCCCCCTCCCCCCCCCTCCTCCATCCCATTTGTCCTCCCCGTGGCGGCTGCGGGGCGCCCGCGCAGGCCTTGCAGGACAGCGCGCAGGGGCAACACAGCGCCAACCGCAGGTTCCTGGACTCGGCGCAGGATGGGGCTGGGGCGGCCCTTGGACGGGAGAGAGGGGGCGAGGGAGCAAGGGAGGGAGGAAGGGGAGAAGATGCGGATGATGATTCGGATGATGATGATGATGATGATGATGATGATGATGATGATGATGATGATGATGATGATGATGATGATGATGATGATGATGATGATGATGATGTTGAAGATGATGATGATGATGATGATGATGATGATGATGATGATGATGATGATGATGATGATGATGATGATGATGATGATGATGATGATGATGATGATGATGATGAGGAGGAGGAGGAGGAGGACGAGGAAAAGGAACAGGAGGAGGAGGAGGAGGAGAAGGAAGAGGAGGAGGAGGAGGGTTGAGGAAAAGGAGAAGGAGAAAGAGGAGCAGAAAGAAAGGAGGATGAGGATGGGAAGGAGGAGGAGGAGGAGCAGGAGGAGGAGGAGGCGGAGGAGGAGGAGGAGGAGGAGGAGGTGAAGGAGGAGGACCGCGGCAGCCTGCAGGTGCGGGGAGGACCTCGGCCGCCTGCAGCTGCCGCGGCCAGAGTGCTCGCTGGCAGAGCTGGCGCGGCCATGAGGTACCTGCTGCCACCAGACTGCGGGCAGCGCCATTTGCGTGGCACGACGACGACGACGACGACGACGACGACGACGACGACGACGACGACGACGACGACGACGACGACGACGACGACGACGACTACCGCGCCTGCGCTTGGGAGAGTCGAGGGGCGCCACGGCGACCTGCAGAAGCCCGGGGGGGGGGGCCCGGCGGGGAGGCGGTGGCACTGCTCGCCCCTCGGCGAACAACGACTCCCAGCTTGGGGGAGGCACCGCGCGCCACGGCCGGCCGAAGAGGCCCGGGCCGCTGGTCCTCGCACGCGCCGCGCTGGAGCCTGCAGTGCGCGGGGCCGGCCGGCCCCTGCTGTGCGTGGACGTGACGGCACGGCGCTGCTGCAGCGCGGCGGCCAGGCGAGGCTACACGCGCAGGGCTGGGCGCGCGAGCTGCGAGAGCCGCTGCGGTCCGGGCGAGCGCTTGAGACTGCGTTCGCCCTGGGGGCCTCGGCCCCGCCCGGGCGCCGAGGCGCGGCGAGGTGCTTGCGCAGGCGCGCGGGCTCGCAGCGCTGGCCGAAGGCCTACGTACCATCCATGTGCCTTCGGGGGGGAGGAGGACTCCTCCTCCTCCTCCTCCTCCTCCGCCTCCTCCGCCTCCTCCTCCTCCTCCGCCCTCCTCCGCTCCTCCCTCCTCCTCCCCTCCACCGCCTCCTCCTCCTCCTCCTCATCATCCTCCTCCTCCATCCGTCGCCCCTCCATCCGTTTCCTCCCTTATCCCCCACTCCTCCTCCTCCTCCTCTCCTCCTCCTCCTCCTCCTCCCCTCCTCCTCCGCCTCCTGTTCCTCCTCCTGCCTCTCCTCCTCCTCCTCCTCCTCCTCCTCTTCCTCTCTCCTCTCCTCCTCTCCTCTCTGCCCTTCCTCCTGCTCCTCCTCCTCCTCCTCCTCCTCCTCCTCCTCTTCCTCCTCCTCCTCCTCCTCCTCCTGCCAGCCAGGAAGAGCCGTGCGCTTCTCAAACAATCCGCTTGGCGGATGAGGGGAGCTCATTGGTCCGACGTTGCGAAAAACTGCAACAGCGCAAAGCATTACGACCAGAGCCCCAGACCCCATCTCTCTGCGTCGTTTTCCGAGCCGCATCGATTTGTAAGGGTCCCCGGGCCCGAAAAAAGGCGAAAGCGCCCGGTTCGATAGAATTGACATGAAACGCCAGGATCTCAGGGGAGCTGGCGAGCGGCTATAGAAGGCGCCCAGCTGTGCGCCGCAGCGGGGCGGCGCTGGCGCACCGGCGCCGGCAGGCGCTCGCAGCTGGCCGCTGGCGCGGGGGCGGGGCGCTTGGCTTGGGCGTGCCGGCGCTAGGCTGCGGCGGGAGGCTCGGACCACGCATCCACTTGGCTCCAAGCGTCCGCCGCCGTTACGACAGGCCCGCCGCCGTTACGACAGATCCGTTTTTTTCCTGCTTCCCGCGTTGACCGGAGAGATGAGCGCATCGGCGGGTGAAAAAAAAAAGGAGAGCGGTAGATGGGGACGCGGCGAGGGCCGAAGAGAAAGAGCCCTCTCGGGCCCGAAAGGCGGCCCGAAAAGCGGCCCCAAAAAGGCGGCAGGCGCTCGAGGCTGGCCGCTTGCGAGTGGGCGGGGCACTTGGCCGGGGCGCGCCGGCACCAGGCTGCGGCAGGGAGCCCGGGGCTCGAGAGACGGGGGTCGATGCAAACGGGGGTCACCCTGACTCCAGATCCGCCCTACTTTGGCTTTTTCCCCAATTTAGAATTGCGTCGGAAATCCACCTATAAGAAGCCGAAAAAGTTGGGCGTAAATTTCTGCACCCGACATAAAGTGGGGCGGAAATCCACAGAGGTAGGGCGGAAACAGCAGCAGAAAAGTAGGGCGGAAATTGGCATCAGCGGGGCTTGAAAAGTAAGGCGGAAATTCCAAACCCTACTTACGAATTTCCCCAAAGTAGGGCGGATCCGGAGTCAGGGGGGGTCGAGGCAAACGGGGGCCAGTCAGAGCGCTGGATCTCGCAGGGTCCTGCAGAGCCAGAGGTGCATGGACCCGGGATGGGGTGCAGGATCCTGCAAGGTCCGGCAGGGCCCTGCAGCTCCCGAGCGACCTGGCGGCACCGGGCGGCGGCGCGGGGAGCCTGGGCCGACCACGCACTCCTGCGTGCCTCGGCCACGCTCCCGGGCAAGCCGCCTTGTGGGCCCCGCCGGCGCAGCTCCTCTTCGGAAGCTGGAACATACACATTACCAGTGGCGGGCTGCTTTTCAATCCCAGGCTTTCTTGAGGGTCGAGGACGACGCCGGGGTGGTGTGGTGTATATGCACTTTCTTCCCCGATGCCCCGGGGAAGCAAAAAAAAAGATGTACACACCAGGGCCCCGTATACACCAGGATCCGCTCGCCAGTGCAAACTCCAATGCAGGGCCGGAAGACGCGTCGGTGTATATATATATATATATATATATATATATAGAGTTCGATTCCCTACCTCTCCCGAGGCCTCGGCGGCCGCTGCTCGGTGGCTGGGCAATCTGGCCAAGCACTAGGCAGCAGCAGCTGCTCCTGGGGGGCCGGTGCCACTCATTGGGGTGTTGCGCGGGCGCGCGGCGTTTCTGGACCCCGGTCCGCCGGAGGAGGAGGAGGAGGAGGAGGAGGAGGAGGAGGCGGCGGAGGAGGACAGCGGAGGAGGAGGCGGCCGGGAGGAAGGCGAGGAGGAGAGTGAGGGCGGAGGAGGAGGCGGCGGCGGAGGAGGAGGAGGAAGAAGCGGAGGAGGAGGAGGAGGAAGGCGGAGGAGGAGGAGGAGGAGGAGGAGGCTGAAGAGGAGGAGGAGGAGGGAGAGGAGGAGGAGGAGGAGGAGGAGGAGGAAGAGAAGGAGGAGGGGGATAAGGAGGAAAAGGAGGAACAGGAGGGAGAGGAGGAACAAAAATCAGGGGAGGCCGCCGACGCCGCCGCCTGCTCGGGGGGAGGGGCAAGGCGCACCCGAGGCCGCGGGGCCAGGCCTCTGCCTGCACGGCCCGGAGGCGAGGGGGGGGGGCCCCCCCCTCGCCTCTGGGCCGTCGTTGCGGCAATGCTGGCGCGACCGAACATTGCGAGAAGGAGTTGTGATCCTGTTTGGAAGTGTGTTTACGAAGGCAAACGTCATGTGCGCAGAACGCGTTTTTTTGTTTTTCCCAACGCCCCCTGCTCCGTGCCTCCGCGCAGGCCTCTAGAGTATGACCCTTGGGCGTTTCCAAGGGGGGGGAGGGGAGAGATTATGTGATTTTTGTCGGAAGTCTCTGGAGGTCTTCGCTTCGCCGAGAGCGTTCCAAAGGGTGCCCCGCGTCTTCCCCGACGGGGGGGGGGACAGGAGAGGGCGGGGCAGCTGGAGAGGAGGAAGGCAGGGAGGTCGGAAGGCAGGGGGCGGAGGGAGGGAGGGAGCCCCACGGCTGGCAGAGAGGAGAGAAGGGAGGGAGCGGAGATGGAACAAGGCAGCGGAGGAGGATGGCGGGGTGGGAGCGGGGGGGAGGGACATCGGACCGAGGGGGGAGGGGATGGAGGAGGGGGAAGTAGATCGGGGGGGAGGGGAGAAGATGGAAAGGGGGAAGTGGGAAAAGCAGACGGTGGCCCAAAGGTGCCCGTTTTGTCCACGACGCGGAGATGTGAGCATTCCGGGGCATCCGCTCGGAAGTTTCTCGGAACGTGTGGGGGCCGCTCCAGAGAGGACCGCGCCTTCGACATAAACCGGCCGAGAAGCAAAACGTGGGGGGCCCCGCCGAGTTGGACGCAGACATCGCCGCGCCCCAGGAGCGATGTCAGTCTTGCTTCGATGATCCTCGGACGTGTGTTAGCCCAATGTGTGTGTGTGTGTGTTAGAGTGGTGGCCGAGATCACGGTCCAAGTCTACCGCCACAAGCTTATTTGGAAGCAGTCGTCCTTAGAACATGTGCGCGCAGGTGGCATCGAGACCCCTGGGGGAAAATCCATTGAGGTATAGATATCGGTTCACGACGTTGACCCAGTTGTGATGTGCAGAGTGACTGAAATTGAAGTTATGGGAAATTTGCTTCATAGCGCGGGTTCCACGCGACGGAGCTTGGACCATGTATTACCATAGTTTTCTCAAATCCGAAGGTTGTTACAGATCATACTCATAGTTTTCTCTAAGCCGAAGGTTGTTACAGATCATACTCTGGCACTTTCAGAGGAATTTGGGGCGTGCCGTCCGACTTGCGCTCGTGGCAACACGGGCCGGCATCATCTGCTCAATGCAGAACTGGCACGTGGCATCTGTGCCAGCACACCTTGGCAGTCATCAGAAGATGGGAGTTCCAATGGTTGCGGAAAGTGTTAGAATTACGTCGTCGATTTGGCGAAGGGGCAATGGAGTACAACCAGCGCACTGCCCAACTTATTTGTGCATGGTGCGAAGACTTTGGCGTGCAGCTTTTGCATCACCGGGTACTCCGCGCAGTATTTATGCAAGCGTGGCCTGAGAATCACCTCCCCGAGCGTCGTTTTCAAGCACACGCCCTTGCATTTCAGCGGTGCAGATCACCAGTATGGTGGGACGGCACGCGGCAAGAACCGTGGAAACTCCGACGAACTTTCAGTGCCACGCAGCGGACAACCGGGCGCCCAGCTGGATGGGAAGATGTCTTCCCAGACACGCGACGTCCGGATTTTTTCAGGACGGCGTCCCTGGAAGTCCAGACCCTTTCCCCGGGGCCGGTTTTTCGTCCTGACTCGTTTTTTGACGGTCCCGAGGCCCGGCGAGGGCCCCCAGGGGCCGAACGAAAATAGCGAAAAACCTCCCGTCCTGATTTTTTTCACGACGCCATCATGTCGGGGTTCTGTTCAGTATACAGTCAACCCGCATAGTGAGGATGGGTAACCTTTCCAAGTCTGCCCTTGCATCCTGGCCCCGTCGGCCCATCCTGAGCGACTTTCGTTGGCCAGCATCGCCTGAAAAACGTTAGCATGATCCTCCAAGGCCCTTGCATCCTTATCGCGCACCCTTACTATACGGGCTGACTGTACGGCACTCAGTGGCGCCAGTACAGGGACCAGTTCAGCACGGCTGCGGCCTGGAAGTCCAGCCTGGCCCACTTCATGACCAGGGGGCCGCATGCGAACCCTACCCCTACCCCCCCACGACTTCTGGGGGGGAGGGTGGGGTTCACTTCGTTCGGGAGCTCCCAGGCGAAGTGAACCCCACCTCCCCCCCCCAGAAATCGTGGGGGGTAGGAGTAGGGTTCGCATGCGGCCCACTTCCCAGACCCCCGACGTAATGATTTTTTCATTGCGTCGACCCCCAGAGGTCCCGACCCTTTCCCCATGACCGGCTCTGCATCCTGAGCCGTTTTTTGACGCTCCCGAGGCCCAGTGAGGGCCCCCGGAGGCCGAAAATTAGGAAAAACCTTCGTCATGATTTTTTCATTACTCGAGGGGGTCTGGGTTCGTCACAGCCAAATTCGTGGCTCGTGGGGGCTCCCCGGGGGGAGCCTGCCGGGGCGCCGGCGGAGGGCCAGACAGCCCAGCAGGAGCACCGCCACTGGAGGAGGCCACGCATGCCGGACCTCCTCGGTTGCCCGCGCATCCGCGCAGCGCAGTACAAAGATACAGCTCTTGATCAGAGGAGGAAAGGTCCCCATACCTCTACCTTTCCCTCGTTTCCCTTTTTTGGGCCTCCTGGGAGGCCCTCGTCGCCACCGCTGGATTCGCCTCGAAATTCTGGTCAGAACGCACCCCATGCTTTCCCCAGCTGGTTGGGAAGACTGCAGATTACGTTTCCTGTTTGTCGTCGGTTGCCAGCCTTTGCAGTGCATCACCATGGGACAAGTGCCCGTGAGAGGCAGCGAAGCCAAACCCATATTCGGCAGTATCTGCAACAGTTTGGTGTCGATGCTCAAATTGGGATGGACCCCTCATCGAGTCCCTCACGACCCCGTCGCATGGCGGAAGCGAGATTATAGTGCCGCAGTTGATTTCTTCGCTAACTATACAGTGGACTCAAGAGCGTCATGGTCTAAAAACTTTCATTACCCCTTTCCGCGGCGTTCATACTTCGGAGTGCAATTCATATTGTTGCGCATTCTGAAGGAGGTATCTGCACGGGCTCGTGTTCGGCCACCGGGTGGGTGGTGGAGGCCGGCCGATGGGATTGTCCAGCTTGGGAGTTTCAGCCAATAGCGATGAGTGGAGTTTTTATTCCGATTCCTGTTTCATTTTTCAGGGCTGAAGTTTTGGCGCTCGGCTTTTTATATCAAGGCGTTGCGCTCCACTCGCCCTTGTCAGAAGCTAGACGTGCGATTCTCACTTTTGCATCTGTGTCAGATCTGGTCGGCCGACACTGTGTGTGTCATAGGCTTGGAAATGAAGAACGAGTGTGTGTGTGTGTGTGCGTGTGTGTGTGTGTGTGCGCCACCCCTTAGTAAGCCCCACCAGAAGATCGTTACACCGACTGGATCGTGTTGAGTGGTCCCGATGGACAAGCCCACGTTGCCTCTAACACACGTTCTGAGGATCACCGTTTTTGAGGTTCAGAGTTTCCGGAACCCATGGAGGACGAGGATGAGGAGGAGGAGCAGGAGGAGGAGGAGGTGGAAGAGGAGGAGGGGCGGAGGATGAGGAGAAGGAGGAGGAGGAAGAGGGAATGGGAGGAGGGGAGGAGGAGGAGGAGGAGGAGGAGGAGGAGGAGGAGGAGGAGGAAGGACGGGAAGAAGGAGGAGGAGGTGGAGGAGGAGGAGGAGGAGGAGGAGGAGGAGGAGGGGAGGGAGGAGGACGGAGGGGAGGAGGAGGAGTTGGAGGGAGGAGGAGGAGGAGGAGGAGGAGGAGGAGGACGAGGAGGAGGAGGAGGAGGAGGAGGAGAGGCAGGAGGAGGGGGAGGGATGGGGAGGAGGGGGAGGGGGATGATGAGTGAGGGGCGGCGTCGCTGCTCAGAAGGCCTCTGCCGTCCCACCCACAGAAGGGCCGCACCTCCCTCTCCCTCTCTGCCTCTCCCCGAGGGGCCCGCCGCCCGCGCCACAGATCTTCGACGGCCTCTCGGGGCACCAGAAGGACGTGGTCTGCGAGACCCTGTCCGCCGACACCGTCGACGCAGGTCCGCGCCGCGCAGACCCCCTCGCGCTGCGACAAGCAATCGCCGCGGGAGGTTTCTCGCCACGTTCTGCCCCCGGGGGCCCGCACCTGGCCTCGGGGGCCGTCAGGGAACGGCTCGAGATGGCAGGCCGGCCCCGGGGAAGGGGTCCAGACCTCATGGGGGTCGACGTTCCCGGAGATCCGACGTCGTGATGTTTTCGGTGCGGGGCCCCCGGAGGTCCAGAAGTCTCGACCCCTTCCCCAGGACCGGCTTGCCGTCCTGAGTCGTTCTTCGACGCTCCCGAGGCCCGGCGAGGGCCGCCAGAGGCCGCTGGATCTCTGGGCTGCGACAAGAATCACGGCGTCGGGGGTCTGGGAGATCGGGCCGATCGTCGCCTCGGCGCTGCGAGGCCCCGGGCGTTCGGGCGCTTACTCGCGGAGCCGATCGGCGGCCTAACACCCAGGCCCGGGAGGAGGAGGAGGAGGAGGAGGAGGAGGAGGAGGAGGAGGAGGAGGAGGAGGAGGAGGAGGAGGAGGAAGGCCTCTCGGGCAGCCGCGCCCCGCCGCGGGCGCGCCTCCGAGGGGGGGCGTCGTCGCGGGAGCGCCCCGCGCGGCCGCCGCAGGGCCTATGGGCCGAGAGCCTCTCGGCGAGGTGAGGCGCCGGGTGCGCGGGCGCGTTCGCGGAGCCTCGCCGGCGTTCCAGCCCTGGGGTGGGCTCTCCTGCGCAGCTGCGCCGCGCCGAGGGCGAGCCTCCGGGGAGGAGGAGGGGGAGGAGGGGAGGAGGTAGGAGGAGGAGGGAGGAGGGGAGGAGCGAGGAGGAGGAGGAAGGGACAGGGTAAGAAGGTGGGGAGGAGGTGGAGGAGGCCGAGGACGGAGGACGAAAGAAGGAGGAAGACGAAAGATCGACGAGAAGACCGAAGAAGAAGAAGAAGAAGAGGAGGCGGAGGAGGGAGGAGGAGAGAGAGGAGGAGGCCGGGCTTCCTCGAGGGCATTTTTTTTCACTTTTATTTGTTTTTTTTTTTCGGCCGCCCCCGTTCGGCCCTTGGGTCTACTCGTTCGGCAGCGCCGCCAGGTCCGGCGGCGCCGCCTCAGCGGAGCCCCGTGCCAGGGCGCAGCTCGCAGGGAGGAGGAGGGAGGGTCTCCTGCCCCTCTCCTCTCCCCCCCCTCCTCCTCCTCCTCCTGACCTCCTCCTCTTCCTCCTCCTCCTCCTCCCCCTCCTCCTCCTCCTTCCTCCTCTTTCCTCCTCCTCCTCTCTCCTCCTCCTCCTCCTTCCTCCTCCTCCTCCCCCGCCCCGGCGTCAGACGGCGGCTCGTCGATTTGATCTGGACGCCCGAAATGGGTGCCGAAAGATATGGCACAATGCCCAAAGCAGCTCGCGCCTCGCCCTCCGCTGTCCTCCTCCTCCTCCTCTCCTCCTCCTCCCCCTCCTCCTCCTCCCTCCTCTTCTTCCTCCTCCTCCTCCTCCTCCTCCTCCTCCTCCTCCTCCTCCTCCTCCTCCTCCTCCGCCCAACATCTGGACAACCGAAATGGGTGAACGGGACTCGCTGTCCGCGCCGCCGCGGCCTGTGCCCACTCGAGCCAGAAGCCCGCCTGCCCAACGGCGGCCGCTGTTGGTTTGGGACAACATGTGCTGTAGGGCACTATGCCCATTCTTTGGGTACCCTTTTCGGGTGTCCAAGATTGAGTCTGACTCATGCGATGCCGATGTCAGCCCAGGCACGCGACGTCCGGATTTTTTCAGCACGGCGTCCCCAGAAGCCCAGACCCTGTCCCCAGGGCCGGCTTTTCGTCCCGAGTCGCTTTTTGCCGGTCCCGAGGCCCGGCGTGGGCCCCCCAGGGCCGAAAATAGGCCAGAACCGCCCGTCCTGATTTTTTGTACGACGCGATCATGTCTGGGTCGTCGACCTCCCCCCTCGATTACCTAATCCCCCGCCTCGGCCGCGCGTGCGTGCGCTGCCCGGCGCCACCCCTTGCCCCGGGCAGGCTCCCGCGTGGTCACCGAGGGCGAGGCGAGCAACGCCATATACTTCGTGAAGGCGGGGAGAAGGAGAGGGAAGGTGGAGCAGGAGGAGGAGGAGGGAGGGGAAGGAGGAGAGGGGGAGGGAAGGTGAGGAGGGAGGCGGAGGAGGAGGAGGCGGAGGAGGCGGAGGCGGGAGGGGAAGGAGGAGGAGGAGGAGGGGGGAGGGGGAGGGGGAGGGGGAGGGGGAGGAGGAGGGGGAGGGGGAGGGGGCGGCAAGGGGGAAGTGAGATGAGGAGGGATGGAGAGGAGGAAGAGGCGGTGAGCGAGGAGGAGGGACCAGTGTAAAACCAGGACTCATACCCAGGACTCACCAACGCTGTTGGAGGAAACTCTCCCTCAAGCTCCCTCTTCACGGGGCCTTACGACGGATTCATTTCCACTCAAGGAAGTGCCTCGTTTGGGAGACAACAGTTTGGAAGATCCTGAGGCGTGCCAAAAACTATGAACGTGATTCATGCATTGCGTCTTGACAATCCCGAGCCGTGCCAAGAACAGCATTCCTGGGCTCCAACCACCGCAATCAACGTAAACTGGTGCGCCTGATAATCGGAACCGTATTTCACCATTTTTGGTTTACGTTAGCCAGCGAGCCATGCAACTTTGCAAACAATCGCCTAAGACGAATGTGCGCGGCGCTATGCCGAGCCCACAGTTTGAAACGGAGGCCCTCAAATCCGTGAAAACATTGTCCGTGAAAACTGTTGCCAATTTCTTATCCGATTGCGCGGCGTGAGGCGATGAGCTACATTGTTGAAAACAAGCCCGCCCTCAATCCGCGAAAAAACTCTTTCACGCGGTTTTCAGGGAATGTACGCGGTTTTCAGTGAATGCGATGCGAGAGCCACAGATTCTGAAGACGGCCCGCCTGGATTTGCTTAAGACGAATGCGCGGCGCTAAGGCGACGGCCACATTTTGAAAACGGCCCGCCTCGATTGTTAAACTTCTTGCAACAGAGGAGAGGAGGAGGAGGAGGAGGAGGAGGAGGAGGGGGGGGGGAGGAGGAGGAGGAGGAGAAGGAGGAGGATCAGGAATGAGGAATGAGGAGGAGGAGAAGGAGGAGGAGGAGGAGGAGGGCGAGTGCGCGCTGCGCTACGGCGAGAGCCACAGTTTGAACACGGGCCGCTCTCGATCCGCTGAGTTCTTACCAGTTGTTGGGACGAATGTGCGCGGCGCTATTGTGAGGGCCACAGGTTGAAAACGACCCACTCTCAATCCGCTAACAAGTGTTTCAAACGAATGTGCGCGGCGCTATGGCGAGAGCCACATGTTGGAAGCGGCCCAGTCTCCATCTGGAAAGCCGTTGCCAACTTCTGAGGTTCGGGATCATAAGCGGTGAGGACGTCTTAGGCGAAACGCCCAACCCGCCGTTCCGACTGACCTCGGGGTGCGACAGGGAGGAATTATTTGTAATGAAGGGGAAGAGGAGGAGGAGGAGGAGGAGGAGGAGGGGGAGGAGGAGGGTGAGGAGGAGAGGGAGGAGGAGGAGGAGGAAGGATGAGAGGGCGGAGGGCAGGGGGGAGGAGGAAGAGGAGGGGAAAGGAGGAGAGGGGAGGGGGCAAGCTAGATGCGCTCGCGCCTCATCTGACATCTCATCCCTGCCTCCCATCCCTTCCCATTGCGCTGATTTCGTCTCTATCCGCGGACGCGTGTGATAGCCGACCTGCTCTTCCAACAAAAAGACCACACCGTGTTTTGCGCAATCAGAAGAAGGGAAGCTGCGTTCGCAGGGAGAGGAGGAGGAAGAGGAGGAGGAGGAGGAGGAGGAGGAGGAGGAGGAGGTGGGGAGCGAGCAGGAGGATGAGCGAGAGGAAAAGGGCGAGGACGAGCAGCAGCAGCAGCAGCAGGAACTGGAGTGGAAGGAGCGGGAGGACCAGGGGAAGGCAGAGGAAGGGAAATGAGGGGGGCGCCGACGATGAAGAAATACTCGGATCCAGGAACGTGGTCCACGCTGGGTCGAGAGCGCCATTCTGAACGACGGGAGCAAAGCGCCGATCTGAAATTGAAGCCACGAAAACAATCGGATTGTACGATCCATATTCGAAAAACTAAGTGTTAACATCCGGTGTGTGAAAGCAGCACGTGGAGAGGGCCGAATGTCTTCGGGACGGAGTCGGGGGAGAGAGGTGGTAGTAGTCAGAAAAATGGTTTAATTGTGGAGGAGGAGGAGGAGGAGGAGGGGAAGGGGGAGAAGGAAGGGTATTGGTGGAGGGAGTGGGAGGAAGGCGAGGGGGATGAGGGGAGGAGGGGAGGAGGGGGGTGGGATGAAGGGAGGAGGAGAGTGACGCGGGCATGAGCGTTTGACGTTTGCGCAGTGAAGGGCCTGGGCCGCTGTGATGAATAGAGTGATGGTCCAACTTTGAGATGACTTGTTCCTGCAGGACTCTGCGCAACCTGCAGGTGGCCTCGCTCGCCAAGCGCTCTGGGAGACGGAAGTAGAGAAGGAACGAAGGAAAACAGGAGGAGGAGGAGCAGCAGCAGGAGGAGGAGGAGGAGCAGGAGGAGGAGGAGGACCCAAGAGTCAGATGGTTCCGCAGAGTGCAAGCCAACTGGGAAGACCACGACGACTTATGCGCGGCTACCCTTGGGGTACCCGCTTGGCGGGTGACAATGGGAAGAAAAGGAGAAGGAGGAGCAGGAGGAGGAGGAAGAACAGCAGGAAAGGATGAGGAGGAAGAGGAGGAGGAAGAGGAGGAGGAAGAGGAGGAGAAGGAGGGGAAAGATGAGGAGGAGGAGGAGGAGGAGGAGGAGGAGGAGGAACCTTAAGACAGGAGGTGGAGGTGGAGGAGGAGGAGGATATCCAGGGGAAGGTTGACGAGGAGGAGGAGGAGGAGGCGGAGTCGGAGGCGGAGGAGGAGGAGGAGGAGAAGGGAGGAGGATGCAAAGGTGGAGGGAGGAGGACGCGAAGGGGAGGAGGAGCACGAGGAGGAGAGGGGACGGAGGACGGAGGACGAGAGGAGGAGACGGAGGAGGAGGAGGGGGAGGAGGAGGAGGAGGAGGAGGAGGAGGAGTAGGGAGGACGGAGGACGGAGGAGGAGGAGGAGGAGGAGGAGGAGGAGGAGGAGAACCCCTTACCGTATCCCCCTCCAGCGCCAGGCCGGGGAGCTACTCGTCTTCACCGGGGGCACGGTGACGGCGGCCGGCGTCCTTGAGGGCGGCAAGGACCCGCCGTCTGCGGCCGCGGCTGCGGGCGAGCGCGGGGGGCGATCGACCGTGCAGGAAGAGGAGGAGAGGGGAGGAGGAGGAGAAGGAGAGAGGAGGAGGAGGAGGAGGGGAGGACGGTAGGACGGAGGCGGAGGACGGAGGACGAGGGGATTGAGGAGGAGGGAGGAGGAGGAGGAGGTAGGAGGAGGAGGGGATGGAGATAGGACGGAGGGAGGAGCACGAGGAGGAGGAAGGAGGGGAGGAGGGGGAGGAGGAGGAGGAGGGGGAGGAGGAGGAGGTGGAGGAGGCGGAGGAGGCAGGAGGAGGAGGAGGTAGGAGGAGGGAGGGATGGGAGGGGAGGGAGGAGGGAGGGAGGGAGGGAGGAGGCGGAGGAGGAGGAGGAGGAGGCCGGAGGAGGAGAAGGAGGAGCGGAGGAGGAGGAGAGGAAGGGAGGAGGAGGAGGAGGAGGAGGGGGAGGAGGAGGAGTGGAGGTGAGTGAGGAGGAGGAGGAGGAGGAGAGGAGAGGAGGAACGGGAGGACGGAGGAGCGCAGAGCAGAAAGAGGAGTGGGACGAGGAGACTTTTGGAGCGCAGACAGAAGAAAAGGAGGAGGAGGAGGGAGGGAGGAGGAGGAAGGAAGAAGAAGAAGAGGAGGAGGAGGAGGAGCAGGAAGGAGGGTAGGAGGAGGAGGAAGAGCAGGGAGGAGGAAGAGGATGAGGGAGGGGAGGGAGGAGGGAGGGAGGAGGAGGAGGAGAAGGAGGAAGGAGGAGGAGGAGGAGGAGGAGGAGGACGAGGAAGAGGAGGAGGAGGAAGAGGAGGAGGAGGAGGAGGAGGAGGAGACGAGGAGAGGAGGAGGAGGAGGACGAGGCGGAGGAGGAGAGGAGGAGGGTGACGTCGTCAACCGGCCATGCAGGCTTCACCCTCGAGCGGCTGCGCACGCTCTCTCGACGAGAGAGTGTGCGCAGCCGCTCGGGGGTGAACCGTTCTCCGAACGAGAACGAGTCGTTCTCGACAAACAACATACCGAACGGGAACGAATCGTTCTCGTTCGGTATGTTGTTTATTATATCTCTCTCTCTCGCTCTCCCTTTCTCTATATGATTATCCTTCTCTCTTATATATCTTGATTCATACATCCTATATATACACATACATATCTATATATATGAACGCAAGACTGCGTTTGCGTTTCGCGCCATGCACCTTGGTCCTAGAAGCTTTGCTTATGTTGGTCGTTCGCGTCATCCCTAGTGGCCTTGGAAACTTGCCCCCTTCCCTGCGGTGCTGTTCGGAAGTCTTCGAAAGTAGAGGTCCGAAAGGCGCCGGGTGGAGAGCGAAGGATCGGAGGGAGGGAATCTCGGGGAGCGACGTGAGGGAAGCGGGAAGCGGATATGGGCGAGAACGAGTGGTGGAGCGGCAGAAAGAGGAGGAGGAGGAGGAGAAGGAGGAGGAGGAGGAGGAGGAGGAGGAGGAGGAGGAGGAGGAGGGAGGAGGCGGAAGAGGAGGAGGAGGAGGAGGAGAGGAGGAGGAGGAGGAGGGAGGAGGGAGGAGGAGGAGGAAGGAGGCGGAGGAGGAGGAGAAGGAGGAGAAGGAGGAGGAGGAGGAGGAGGAGGAGGAGGAGGAAGAGGAGGACCCAGAGGAGGAGCAGGAGGAGGGAAAGAGATGGCGCCGTCAGGGGACGGCGAAGAATTTTAGTTGCGCCGCACCGAGGAGCGCTGTCCAGAAACCAGCGGCTACGGTTTTCTGTGTACGTACACGCTTGCAGAACATTGTGTACGTACGCGCTTGCAGAAATGCTCGGCAGTGGATGACGACGAAAGGCCTTCGTAGGCCCGCACATTGCCCGCTCGTGGCCCACGGACCCTGGTGCGCAACGCGAAGGAATGGCAAGCCACGCGAATGAATGCCAAGCAAACCGACGCAATGTCAAGCAATGCCGGGTTCGCAACAGATTTCAGGGAATGTGGTTGCGAACCTGGGATTCGGGTCAGTTAGGTGGAAAGTGTCAGTTTGGTGGAAAACGCCGTGTTGGAGCTCTGGTGGGCCGGCTTGGGGCTCTCTCGAGCCGTCCTGGGGCCATCTTGGGCCGTTTTGGAGAGCTTGGGCCCTCGAGGGACGTTGCTTTTGTAGGGGCCTTCCATGGCCTTCTTGGGCTTGTCTTGGGGGCCCTTGTGACGGCCTGTTGGGCTTCTTTTTGGCTAATGTGGGGCTTCCTTGGGCAGTCTTGGGGCGTCTAGGGGCTCTCTCGGGGGTCTCTTGGGCCGTCTTGGGGCGATGCTGGAGGCCTTGTTTTGCTTGTTTGGATGCTGCTAAGGCCCGAACAGAGAATATGCTGAAAATTCACGTTTCCCTGAGGGAATGAAGCGATTTCTGATTTCTGGGAGTCATGTTCAAGACCTCTTGGACCGTCTTGGGGGCCTCTGGAGGCCATCTGGGTCCTTCTTGGAGGGCTCTAGTGTTGTCTTGTGTCTCTCTTCGGCGTCTTTGATCGCCGCTCTGATCTCCTTGGGTCTGCTGACAAGACCCGGCCAAACGCCCTGGGAGGTCCAGGACGAGCCAGGGGACCTTTGGCAAGGGTGTCCGCGGAGCTCAGAAACGCTGGATCCCGGTGGTCCTGTTCTTTTGGGGGGGGTCCCACCCCCCGGGGTTGTAAAAGTTCGCCGGCCCAACGGGCCAGAGGCGTGCTAAGATCTCCGGCAACTGGTTAACAATAATTCTAGTTCGCGCGCGCGCGGGGCGGCCCCTGGGGGTCCCCCGGCGAAAAGAACCCCGACCTCAGCCCGGGAACTAATACTCGGAGATGGTTTCCCTCCTGGGTGCGGCCTTCACGCCCCCCGGAGCGCGCCAAGAGGGCCAAAAGAGGCCCCCAAGACGGTCCAAGAGGGCTCCGAATCACCGAACGATCGGCCCAAGACGCCTAACACGGCGTCAAGACGGCCCAAGAGGTCTCCAAGACGTCCCAAGAGAGCCCCGACCCTTCCCAAGAGAGCCCCAAGAGGCAAAAATCAATGATTCTCCTTAGGTTTTTGAAGGTTTTTGGCTTCCTCGCCTTTTCGCCTTTCCGACGCTCCAAGGGGCCCAAGAGGCCCCCAAGACCACCCCAAGACGGCCCAAGAGGCCCCCAAGAGAGCCCCAAGACCGCCCAAGAGGCCCAAGAGAGCCTAAAATTCGCCCAAGAGGGCCCCAAGACGGGCCCAAGATGGAGACCACGAACCGAAAATCCGAGGCTTCCGCTCCAAGAGGCCTCCAGGACGCCCCAAGAGGCCCCCAAGAGGCCCCAAGAGGCGCCAAGAGGCCCGAAAGAGACCCCCAAAGGCCCCAAAACGGAGCCCCAAGAGGCAAAACTCAGTGATTTCCATTAGGTTTCTGAAGGTTTTTGGCTTCCTCGCCTTTACGCGTTTCCGACACTCCGAGACGGCGCAAGAGGCCCCCAAGAAGCCCCCAAGACCACCCCAAGACGGCCCAAGAGGCCCCCAAGAGAGCCCCAAGACCGCCCAAGAGAGCTTCAAGACAGCCCAAAACGCGCCCAAGACGGCCCAAGAGGGCTCCAAGAGGAGCCCAAGATGGAGACCACGAACCGAAAATCCGAGCCTCCCGCTCCAAGAGGCATCCAGGACGCCCCAAGAGGCCCCCAAGAGGCCCCAAGAAGCGCCAAGAGGCCCGAAAGAGACTCCAAAACGCTCCAAAACGGAGCCCCAAGATATAGAAATCTGTGATTCTCTTCGGTTTTTGAAGGTTGTTGGCTTCCTCCCCTTTTTCGCCTTTCCGACGCTCCAAGACGGCCCAAGAGGCCCCCAAGAGCTCCCCAAGACGGCCCGAGAGACCTCCAAGAAGGCCCCAAGACGACCCAAGAAGGCCCCGAGACGGCCCAAGAGGCACCAAGACGGCCCAAGAGGCACCAAGACGGCCCCAAGAGGGGCCCAAGAGAGGAACCACGAACCGAAAACTGGAGCTTTCTGCCCCAAGAGGGCCCCAGGACTCCCCGAGAGGCCCCCAAGAGGCCCAAGATGCCGCCAAGAGGCTCCCAGGAGGCCCCAGAAAGCTCCCAGGCGCCTCCGAACGGCCTCTCAAACGATCCCAAAAGGCCTCCCAAACGGCACCTCCTCCTTCTCGCCTCCTCCACCTCGCTCCTCCTCCTGCTCCGCTTTCCCCCTCCTTTTCTCGCCAATGCACTGTCGCCCCTCTGCACTGCGACCACCCCCTTTTGCTCCCTTCCTTCCAAGCCCACGCACACTCTCTCTCTCTCTCTCTCTCTCTTTTTCTCTTTTCCCTCTCACGTCGAGGGGCATACCTGTCGCAACAGTTACACTGTCTTCATGGCCCCCGCATGAGAGTCCACGAGCAACGAGTCCCCACAAAGGCGCCAGGGACACCCCAGAGCGGCACAACCTAGAAGCCCCGTGGAAACAACGATTCCCCCGACACCTCCTCAGAAGGTCGACACGAAGCTGTTTCGCGGGGGCAGCTTCAACACCACCATCCCGAACGCAACGGCTCAGAAAAAAATTATCCCGGCAAAGCAACCTAACAGCGATGTGTAGGAGCATATCTGGAAGCATTCCCCTTAAGATTCAGATGAGAATCCAGTTGTAGAATTCTGCTGTTCTCGCAGTCGTAGTCGCATTCGCGATGACAGTCGCAGTGGCAACGGCAGTCGCAGTCACAGACTCAGCCTCAGCCTGCCTCAGCCTCAGCCTCAGCCTGCCTCAGCCTCAGCCTGCCTCAGCCTCAGGCTCAGCCTGCTTCAGCCTCAGCCTCAGTCTGCCTTCAGCCTCGGCCTCAGCCTCCGCCTGCCTCAGCCTCAGCCTGCATGAGCCTCAGCCTCAGCCTCAGCCTGCCTCAGCCTCAGCCTGCCTCAGCCTCAGCCTCAGCCTCAGCCTGCCTCAGCATCAGCCTGCCTCAGCCTCAGCCTCAGCCTGCCTCTGCCTCAGCCTCAGCCTGCTTCAGCCTCAGCATCAGTCTGCCGTCGGCCTCGGCCTCAGCCTCAGCCTGCCTCAGCCTCAGCCTGCATCAGCCTCAGC